ATCCGTATGGAAAACGCCACTATTGCTGACCCCCTCCAGTGCCCTGCGAAAGCCAGCAAGTCCCCCCACACCAGTTGGGGTGGAAGATAGGACAGTGCGTAGGCATTGGTGTCCGCCACTGCTGTTTCGTACAGTGCGATATTGGATAACACTGGGAAAGCGTACCCAAGTAGGGGAACGCTACGGAAGCCACATCCTACATAAAGGAGGTATCATGTGGAAGTTACACATATGGACTGGCCATAGCGCAGTACTACATATGGAAGTCCCTGCGGTAGACTCAGCGAATCTGGGGTCAGATCAATACACAGCAGAGATGGCAGAGAAATCTCTGCTAGGGAAAGACACGGGCTTACCGTGATCACTACACACGGGCACCTAGCCCAGCACAAGGGCTGACCTTGGGCATACACACGAGTGCTGAACCTGGCGTCTGGCACTCCGCCACGCTTGACCACCGAGGGTGCGGGAGGAACTCCATAGGGTTCACCAAAAGGGAAACTGAAGTGGATGATTCAGCCTCCTCACACCCCTAAGGAACCTGATGACCAAGTCGCGCTTCCCAAGAGACTTGCCGTCTACTGCATCGTGATGTGCGGCAATAGCGGCAACATACACTTTAAGGGTGGAGGGAGACAGCCTTTGCTCCATCCCTTCTTGCAGAAAGGAGAGCACGACCGTGATCGGGCATCTATGGTGGTCTTCCCAACGGGAAGTCTGACTGGGCCAGTATGGCACTACTAAGATGACCTTGCTCCTCATCCTCCCTGACCTTGCACAATTGTCTGTGCGAGAAGGCTCACTGGGGGAAACGCATATTCGCGTAGGCCCCGAGGCCAGCGCATCCGTGCTGAGGGTACCCTCGGACAGGGAGTAAAACAGCTGGCAGTGGGACGTGTCCGGAGAGGCAAACAGGTCTACCTGAGCGCCAAGGAGGGGCTGCCGCGAGGAGCATCAGTTCGGGGAACCAAGCCGACTGGGCCAGTATGGCGCTACGAAGAGGACCTGCTCCTTGTCCTCCCTGACCTTGCACAGTGTCTGTGCGAGAAGGCTCACTGGGGGAAACGCATATTTGCGTAGGCCCCGAGGCCAGCTGCACGCCAGTGCATCCGTGCCGAGGGTCCCCTCGGCCAGGGAGTAAAACAACTGGCAATGGGACGTGTCTGGGGAGGCAAACAGGTCTACCTGAGCGTCCCCAAAGCGTCTCCAAATCAGCTGGACTGTCTCAGGGTGGAGTCGCCATTCTCCCGGAAGGGCGGGCTGACGTGAGAGCTCGTCGGCTGCATGATTGAGCTCGCCCGGGACGTGAACGGCGCAAAGCGACCTCAGATGCTTCTGACTTCAAAGGAGGAGATGGCGGGCGAGTTGCGACAATGAACTTCACGAACTTGGTGAAGACACGAGGCGACAGGGACAGCCCGAAGGGGAGGTCCTTGTACTGATATGCTCGTCCCTCGAAGGCGAAGTGGAGAAACGGCCTGTGTCGAGGGAGGATCGAAACATGAAAGTACTCATCCTTCAGGTTGATCACTGCAAACCAATCGTGCGGACAAACGCATTGAAAGATACGTTTCTGCGTTAACATCCTGAACGGGAGCCTGTGAAGGGCCCGGTTCAGAACGCGCAGGTCCAGGCTTGGCCGTAACCCACAGCCTTTCTTGGGTACAATGAAGTAGGGGCTGTAAAACCCCGACTTCATATCAGCTGGAGGGACCGGCTCTATCATGTCCTTCGCCAGCAGGACTGTGATTTCCGCTGGCAAGACGGGAGCATCCTTGTTCGGTACAGAGGTGAACCGAATGCCCCTGAACTTGGGAAGACGCCGGGCGAACTGAATCGCATAGCCGAGACTGATGGTTCTCGTGAGCCAGCGAGACGGTCCTCGCACACTGCCATCCTTGTCACACTGCCTCTTGAGACCCGGAGAAATAGGAAACTGCTCTTTTATTTAATGTTTGGGTACCACTGGCTGGGGAGCCAGTGGCGGAACAAAACAAAAATTAAACAAAAGATTCTCCACCCGGCCCTCCCCGGAAGTAGTGGTGCGGTCACCATCTTCTGAAGAGCAGGATCCAGAGTCTCCGGGTTGCCCGTCTCAGGAACGCCGCTTGCTCTGGCGCTTTAAGAGCCTGGCAGGGGCAGAGGGCGCAGGAGGGCGCCCTCTGCGACGAGGTGGCTGCCGACGATCGGCCTGCGGCACCCCCAGGAACCAATCATCCATCCTCGAGTGTTCGGGAGATGGAGGGGGTTTCCATTGCAGCTGAGATTTGTAGGATCCAGCCTTCCGTTTGAGAGGCACCCATAGATAAGCTTTGTTGAATTGAAAACGGCTCTGAATGAGGAGTCGATTCCCCTTGATGGGATCAATTCCAAACTTTGGAATCGACTCTCGATTCCCAAAGCCTCATAATCGATTATTTTTGGAATCGATTCCCAGTCCTTGGCTCATCCCATTTCAGAAGCACAAATGATGTGGAGAATTCAGTTTCTGTGAGATTCTCAATCACATTTAGAAAACTTGTAGGAGCTGATGTTTCAGACTCAGTTGAAGGAGAGCTTGAAGTGGCAGGAGCTGCAGGGATATTTAGAAGTACGAAGAAAAAAAAATGTTTTTTTTTTTTTGCATACGGTCAAGCTTTACATTGAGAGAATTGTTATTAAAATACACGAAATTGCTAAATGAATACAATTTTGTCTTATTACTATTTTCTATCTCCCAACAGAAAGTTGCTGATGTTTAATACCTGGGATTTGACATGAAATAAGCACAGTTATTATTACAATATACCACATTAATGATAAATATGAATAAAATACAGATATAATTTCCCTATTTCACACATTTACTCAATTGAATAAAAATACTCACTTATAGGAGCTGATGTTTGAATTTCAGTTGAGGGAGAGCTTGTAGTGGCAGAAGCTGCTGGGACATCTTGATATATAAAAAAAGTAAAAAAATGTGCATCCAATCAAATCTTATACTGTGAGAATTGTTGTTAAAAAAAAACATTAAATTGCTGTAATCTGTATGAATGCAATTTTGTATTATTACTATTTCCCATTTCCCAACATAAATTTTAACACATAGATGCTGATGTTTGATAATTGGGATTTGACACAAAATATGCACAGTTATTATTACAATATACCACATTAACAATAAAATGAATGAAATACAGATATGGATTTTCCTATTACCACATTTATTTGATTGTCCATAAATACAAATACTCACCTGTTTGAGACTCAGTTGAAAGAGTGCTTGTTGTGGCTGGGGCTGCTGAGACATTTAGATGTATGAAGAATAATACAAATATAGTTGAAGTAATATTTGTTGACATGCTTAAAAGGAAATGTCTGAATGTAATGAAATTATGTATTGTTAGAATTATTGCTTGAAGGATATATGACATTAACTGTGAACAGTATAAATTAAATTTTGCTAATTGCAATGTCATAATTGTCATAAAAGGAATAAAATACAGCTATAAGTTATGCAGTCGTTCCATGAATAATACTCACTTGTAGGATGTGTTTGAGGAAACTCTGTTCCGAGCTCAGTTGAAGAAATGATTGAAGTGACAGGGTGTGATGTCATATCTGGAAATATGAAGAAATAAAAACTGTATGAATACAATTTTGTATTATTACTCTTTCCCATTTCCCAACATAAATTTTAACACATAGATGCTGATGTTTGATAATTGGGATTTGACACAAAATATGCACAGTTATAAATACAATATACCACATTAGCAATAAAATGAATGTCTTATTACTATTTTCTATTTCCCAACAGATAGTTGCTGATGTTTAATACCTGGGATTTGACATGAAATAAGCACAGTTATTATTACAATATACCACATTAATGATAAATATGAATAAAATACAGATATAATTTCCCTATTCACACATTTACTCAATTGAATAAAAATACTCACTTATAGGAGCTGATGTTTGAATCTCAGTTGAGGGAGAGCTTGTAGTGGCAGAAGCTGCTGGGACATCTTGATATATAAAAAAGTAACACATTTTGCATCCAATCAAATCTTATACTGTGAGAATTGTTAAAAAAAACATTAAACTGCTGTAATCTGTATGAATGCAATTTTGTATTATTACTATTTCCCATTTCCCAACATAAATTTTAACACATAGATGCTGATGTTTGATAATTGGGATTTGACACAAAATATGCACAGTTATTATTACAATATACCACATTAACAATAAAATGAATGAAATACAGATATGGATTTTCCTATTACCACATTTATTTGATTGTCCATAAATACAAATACTCACCTGTTTGAGACTCAGTTGAAAGAGAGCTTGTTGTGGCTGGGGCTGCTGGGACATTTAGATGTATGAAGAATAATACAAATATAGTTGAAGTAATATTTGTTGACATGCTTAAAAGAAAATGTCTGAATCTAATGAAATTATGTATTGTTAGAATTATTGCTTTAAGGATATATGACATTAACTGTGAACAGTATAAATTAAATTTTGCTAATTGCAATGTCATAATTGTCATAAAAGGAATAAAATACAGCTATAAGTTATGCAGTCGTTCCATGAATAATACTCACTTGTAGGATGTGTTTGAGGAAACTCTGTTTCGAGCTCAGTTGAAGAAATGTTTGAAGTGACAGGGAGTGATGTGATATCTGGAAATATGAAGAAATAAAAACATTTACTAATAGTCTTTGCTGACATGCTCACAAGAGCATCTGTTCATACAATTAATTTTTGTATCACAATATATTATTGATAGAACACCAACATATATTAAAGAATATAACCATTTTAACTGTTGGGACTCTGATGTTTCATACTCAGCATGTGACTCTACATGTTAGTACTGACCTGTATCAGTCTGTGCATTCAACCCCTGTGGAGAGAAGCAAAGTACATCATTAATAGAGATGAAAACTCAAGTATGAAAGTCTATGTCCCAAAAATTACTTAAACCCTAACTTTAATTCATTAACAGTCGACTTCAGACTTGAATTTCACTTAAGCACAGACTTAAGTGACCAACAACAGCAAAGTCAAACATAATTTTTCTAGATACCGCCATTTTGTGAAGTCATTTATTCCTGAATTCATCAACACAACGTTATGTTTTGTTGTGTTGCGTCTTTTCATTTCTAATATAATTTAGACCTCAATAAACAGCCGTTAATAATGTCACGCCCATGGACTAGGGCTGCACGATATTGGAAAAAACTCACATTGCGATATTTTATTTTTCTGCATTATATATTGCGATATGATGACTTGAATAGTTTATTTGGGGGGGAAAAAACAATGATTGGGGTGATTTTGTAGGTGAGTAAATCAGCATAGGAAATAGACCAGGTGCGAGAGCCGGCTACAATACCCGCCACGAAGGAGAATGCTGTGGACAATGAGAGTGCAGAGAGGAGCTCCGCCCCCTGCACCATGGCTAAGGGTGAGCTGAGAAGGGATTTGGGTGAATGGAAAGCGGAGGAAGACTTTATTGATTTGTATACCGACCTGCCCCCTTTCCTCCCTCGGTGAACTCTGACCCTCCAGTTCCTGTGTTTAGCCCAGAGAAGGCTCCCGTTCCCACGTCCAGCCCAGAGAGTGCTCCTGTTCCCAAGTTAAGCCCGGAGGCTCATAAATGCCCGCCCACCCACCTACTCCTGCCTACTCTACTGCTGTCGTCTGACAGCCCCTCTGCTCGCCCTCAGCCCACCATCAGTACAGTGCGAGCTCCGCGGGTCTGCTCCGCGGCTCCACCATGGCTCCTAGCTCCCTCCTCTCCGCCATGGCTCATTAGTCCAATGGCTCCACTGGGCTCCCTCATCCCGCCGGCTCCGCCTTGGTCTGTCATTGGCCATCCGTCGCCTCGGGACTCAACTCCTACGGCTGCGCCTCATCCCTTCGGCTCCTCCTCCATCCTCTGTTGCTCCGGCTCCACCGCGGCCTTCTCCTCTGTTGCTCCGGCTCCACCGCAGCCTTCTGGATCCCTGCCTCTGCCTCGGTCGCCGGCGCCATCTGCTCCGCCTTGGCCCTCCGGATCCTCCCCGTCGCCCTGGCTCATCGGCTCTCCGTCTCCGCCTTGGGCTCCTCCACCACCTGCTCCGTCGCAGTCGGTTGGCCCCCTGGAGTCGTCATCCCATCCTCCTCCATGGCTCCTCCCTCCGTCGGCTCCACCGTGGGTCATCATCATGGCTGTGGCCTGGGTCCTGCTTGGCTCCTCCTGCTCCAAGTCCCTACTGTTCCCTTCTTGGCTCCTCCCTCCGTCGTTACCTCCCTGAATTCTGTCTGCCGGCCCCCTCATGACGCTGAGCACGTGCACTCAACTTCTTTGGTCGACCATGGCGATGCCTGTTCCTAGTGGAACCTGTCCTGTTAAACCGCTGTATGGTCTTCTTGGCCACCATGCTGCAGCTCAGAATGTGAGGGGTGTACTCACTTCTGTGAGATACTGTATATAATTTTTGGCAGCTGTTACAGAATTTTTTACAATAAATATTCTGATTTGACCTTGAGATTAGCTTTGATATTTGACCACTATTTATGATAATACTTGGTTACAATGACACTAATAGTTTTTATTTATGCCAGGAATGCAAAATCAATCAGGAGTTAATGATAATTTGAATAGAATAACGAGACACAAACCTGTACATACTCAATCGCGTTTGCTTCCATTTATTTTTAGTGCTTCGCTACACAACATAAAAACTTTTACTCCAAAAGTGCGCACGTTATTTATTCACACGTTTACCTCACATTTCTTTAAATAGAATAGAACCATAATTTCTTAATGACTCGCAGAAAGACGATACTGTGCCGATCGATCTGTCAATATTGCGTGATCATAATTCCCACATTACGGTGATGGTAAACTTCTGCGTTCTGTCTCATAATACATTTATGTGTCCGTTTTTTATATACAATATCTGCATTAGGTCAGATTAGAGTGAGTTTTGAGCAAAAACACTGTGTATTAATCTCATACTGTCACACGGGCTGACTTTCTGAAAAGTCCTGCATGGATTAAGACCGTCTCTATCTTTATCCTTTTTGTGCCGATGTCACAATTATTGCATATTTTAGTGTCAGAATCGATGGAGTACAAGCTGCAATATGAAATTTTATCACCTACCTGCTGCCATTGCCAGACAAAAAAACGACGACAGCTGTAATAAAACGAGCGGACTGGACAGAAACGATCATCAAAAATTCGCTTAATATCAGTTAATGTTAAATAAAATATTGTCTTTTATGGATTATGGTTTGGTTACAAGTCTAAAGATTTCTCATGCATGCCCACCTAATCAGAAATTGGGGAACAAGTTAACTAACAACCAGCAGCTAAACATAAAGGAAACCATTTGTGTTGTCTCGCTTTCTACAATTGCCATAAGTGCAATTGTTAAGGCCTATGTTATGTGTCAGGTGTGTGTTCAAGTAGTTGAATTTGCTTACAATTGCCACTGTTAGTATATAGTTATAGGCATCTAAAGATTTGTATGCCCTCAGTTTCTATTTACTATACACGCTCGGTTTCTCTATCTGGTAGGTGTGTCAGACCACTCCTGTCAGAGCGTCCATCCATTGAGTGAGTGTGTACGAGTCAGCCAATCTGGTTCCTTCAGTTAAAGTTAACATTTTCAAATAATTGCGGTCCCGGACAGTGAGTGACATTACATATTCAGATAAAATCGAATTTTTCCAGTCATCGTTAAAAAACAAGCAAACAAAACTTGATAGCTAGCGTTAGTGAAGCAGTCAGGAGAATCTTTCTGCCTCCACCTAAGCTCTGCCCATAAAAATACGTCACAATGTTTACTAACTGAAAAGGGGTCTATTCAGCAGAGGCAGGGATACATAGACCAGAAGGGGGAAAATCCCCCCCCACTACAAATCGCACCCTGTATATATATCAGGGGCGTTTCCTCCGAGTAGGCAATGTTATATTTTTTATATAACATTAAAAAGTGTATAAATCACTCATTTTTCTAAAGAAACATTGTCCAATGGCGACACCAGCAGGCAGGGGTGGTGCTAGAGAATTTTGAACGCAGGTGCTGAGGGGGCGCTAGATCTTTGACAGGGGGAGCTGGGCAATTACAAGCTAATAATAGCCTAGTAAATATGAACAAAATAGGTTGTTATTTATATTTTATATGAATAATAAAATAAATATAAGGAAAACTTGTCCACTTGATTTTTTTTATATTTTATCAGGCTACATGATTATTTGACTCATCACAATTTAATTAAACATTTTCACTGTCTGAAATTACGTAGATCTTACGTAGATCAGTCAGTTCCCAAAGATTTTTTGCATAAGCCCAGACATTCACTGAATAAGAATTTCACACCAAGTGTTTATGCGGAGTGTGGAAGCTAAAATAGGCTATTATAGTGCGCTTACAACATGGAGGCACCTGCGCGATCTCTTGCATTTTTTCCTGCAGAAAGAGCTTAAAATACTCCGTTGTTTTTGGTCATACAGATAAGACTAATAGATTACATAATTCGCTTTTATTCCGCTTTTATTTGTGTACACAGTACACTCACAATAACACATTATGCTTTTGTAAAATAAACAGGATGCACTTTCTGCCATCCCAGTCTCCGTGTCTCCGTGAACTGACATGGGAATCGGCTATTGCCTCACAGACATAAGAAATAAATCTATAGAAAGCTTGAAATGTCTACAATTAAACGAACAAATTAAAAAAAATCTCTGATAATGTAGTCCGTATGAAAAGTGCATTTCTATGTAAAGGCACGTCCATTATACTGGGGCAATAGCGAGTCAGCATCGACAACTTCATCTTTGTATCTTTACTGACTCAAAAAGCAGTTTACTAATAAATCATTAAAAGGTCTTCTTTTTTCCCGACACATTCATAATCATTAGGCTACTTTTGCCGGTGCATTGCGTAAAGCTTCATGCACGAGCTTGAGCGTGGAATAGGCAATAGGCTACAGGGCTGTCAAAATGACTGAAAAACTACATTCGAATTTTCCACTTAAATATTATCAAAATTCGAATTATATTTTAAATTATAATTATAAAATTATAATTTAAAAGGCATAATTTCAGTTAGGGGGAAAAAAGCTTTTGCCTTCTCTCCTGAGGCCACAAGAGGGCTAACAAAAGCATTAAAATGCAATGACACTTACATTGTCGTCGCATTTCGTGCGCCACTGATAAGGCTGCCTGACGGCTGACGCAGACCTAAAATTCGAATGCAATGTTTTTGCATTCGAATGTGGATTTTTTTTTTTTTTTTCGACGAATATTCTAAATTCGATTTTTTTTTTGACAGCCCTAATAGGCTATATTATGCCTAGGCCTATATATTATAGGATGGTTTAGTAGGCCATTATATTAGCCTAATTAATTTAATATAAACGTGCAACTATTTGACTAGAAAAATATTTTGTCAGGGGCAGGCCTAATTACTTGGCACAAGGAACAACTCCATTTTTAAAATGCTATGACATTAGGAATAGTGCGACAATCAAATCACGTCACGTTATTGCATTGTATTAGTGAGCAGAGGGGCTGCCAGACGACAGCGGAGGAGGAGGCAGGAGCAGGTGGGAGGGTGGGCATTTGTGAGCCTCTGGGCTTTCAGGGCTGAACTCATGAACAGGAGCCCCCCTTGGGCTGGACGTGGGAACAGGAACTTTCTCTGGGCTAGACATGGGAACAGGAACTTTCTCTGGGCTTAAACAGTCTTTTAATGAACAAACACAGGGGAAAATCCACAACAGGAACGAGGAATGACACACGAACATAACTTGTTAGACCCGACAGAGACAGACTGCACAGACTAGGACTTAAATACTGGAGCAAATGAAGATAATTAATGACACACACCTGGACCATCCAAC